ATGCTGGGATACACTTGTAAGTGGCATATTAAATATACACTGTCCTTAGCACACTCTCATCTGCCTTAATTAACACTGCGAGTGCATCAACCAACACATTTGAGAAGAATAATATTCAGGGATCGAAAACGGCCCCATCGCTAAGAACTGCGGCACAGTTCAGAAGATGATTTTCATCACCTTCGCACACGTGCCCTGTTGCCACCGCGCCGCAGAGCCTCACTGTTCCTGCGAAGCGGACTTCAGCCCCCGCGTCTCGGTCAGACTAGCTCGTGCCATTGGTGTGACAGTCAGTTCATCCTTCAAGCCCACGCTGTGAAGCAGATGCTGCTGGAGGGTGGGTTGTCTCCCGATGGAATTCGCTGTCCTTCATCCTCCCCTTTTCCCTGGGCCAGGAGGATTCATCTCAGACCAGGACAGAGCAGGGAAGTAGGGACAGAAGTAAAGGCTCTGAGGAGGATGAAGGTGGGAGGAAGGCCTGCTCCAGGTCCAGCCTTGCAGGCTGCTCTCCCACAAGTTGGAGAAGTTGGAGGAATCTGGATGAGAGAGCAGGGAGAGGAGTGATAAACTGAGGGCAGCAAACCCAGTAACAAATACAGTGCAATAACATAAGATGGATTGCAGCTTCAGGACTGGAAGGAAGTTATGCTAAGAATTTACATTATTATTTTGCCAACCTGACGTTTGCAAATAGATCTTCACTCCTGCCAGTCTGTTCATAAACCCCTTCTGCGTGAGCAGTTCAGCCTGGCCCTGCTCCCAAAGACGCACCATCAAAGATTAAGTCCCCTGGTTGCTCCAGGTGGTCTCATGATAATAGGGTCTGCACCAAAACTCTGCACCACAGCTGCTTTAGGAAGCTTAACTCCATTTTGCAACAGGTTTTGCTGGAATCTTGAGGTAACATGTCGATAAATCAAAATCAGCTGTCAATATACTAAGCTTCATGTTAGTGCTACAGATAAAGAGAAGCGAAGGCACGGATAGAAAGTGCTTCTGAACTTAACCTGTACCCTAAAAGCTGATTTCCTTTAAAACTCAGTGGCAAATCTCCCCATGATTTGAGTAAAGGTGCACCAGAGCAGGTTTTACATACTCGGTTTGTGGCAGCCGCCTGGACTGGCTGCATTCCTGTTTGTGGTTCTCACCGTCAGTGGCTCCACGTATGCTCGGTGCAGTTAGTCGACTACTCCCTTCGAGGCCTACAACAAAACATAGGCTGCTGACAAAAATGGGACAAACAAGATTAGGAACCCAAAAAACCCTCTCATCTGACAAAAGTATTTTGTGTAGTCAGAAGCAAGCGTACAGGCTCTGTGAAGGGACAACTAGCAGCAGCAGTGACAAGCACCCAGCACTTCATTGCCAACGAAATCAGACCTTTGACTCCTGAGCTATAGGAAAACTCCTAGTGATAGGTAAACAGAAAGTTAATAAAAGACCCTCAAATCAAATTCAAGTGAGGGGGAAGGGGAAGGACAAAAAAAAAAGTCAAGTAGAGTAACAGTTTTATTACTGAAGTCCTATTATAACTGGACTGAAAGGTCTATTTATAATTCAGATATATGCTGCAATTGCCTTCACAATCCAAGCTGAAACAGGAACCTCAATAAATCTTCATCTGTTTCAAAATTCAGGTAAGAGTCCCTTTGAAAAGTTAAAGCAGAACAATACTACACATACCAATTCTGCCACGGACCTGCTTGCAACGTAGGTATTTCTTCCACTGTATGTGTTTGACAGTATCTTATGTAAAGGTGTCTTGCATACCTGAAAAAAACAAAACAAAACCAAAAAGAATATGTAGTTAGTGATTTTGCTGTCCTGATTTAGGAGTTTGGGAGTGAAGGTGCTTTTATACATACATAATACATGCTTACATACAAATATATATGCATTTTTAAACAAGAGCAGCCTCAAAAAACTGATCTCTCTGTGCATTGAATGCAATTATTCCTTTTTATTATTCCTATTATACCTATTTATTATTATTATTATTATTTACTGGTTCTCTGGTAGTCTTGATAATACAACCGGTAACATCCAGCAATACTGGCTTGTGAAGTAGTTGCCGTGTCACTGGACCACCCTGTTGTATCCCACTCCGAAGTGATTCCGATGCCTCATCCACCGTGGCACGGAGGAGCGGGTGGTTGAGGTGACTGCCCTTTGTTCGTACCCTCACGCCAATACAGTCCATGGTCACGCTCTAATACAGCAAAAGTTGATTTCGGGCGTTGCTGGCACCCGCTCTGTGCCTGGCTCTCGGCGCCGCAGCCGTGACGTCATTGGCATGACTGCTGGTTGTGGGGTAGCCATGCTCTCCAAAAACAGGAGAACTGTGTGGACACATAGGAAAACCCCTGTCCTTTGCATCTGACTCTGATTTTTATTTAAAGAAAAACCCAAAACAAACAACAAACTTATCTGTTGATAAGCTTCACTAAAGTACAGACTGAATCTCATTAATCTAGGAAAAGAAACAAGGGAGAGATATTCTTCGTTAAGAAAACTGACGGTGGCAGTCATCTTTTTATTAAAATTAATGGCATTTAAGAGGGGCTGTGTCTTAGCAAAGTATTTTTACAGCTTTGTCTGTCAGTTTCACGAGTTTTATAGAACATTTTTATACAGCTGTTTTGCATTTGGCTTTTACGTTTTAATGTTTTCTGTTCATTAAATCACAAAACTAATAAAAACTAAATGATTGAGATTTCTGCAGCAGTACAGGAATAGTCCTAATGCACAGTGTTATAATTTAATAAGCATCTCAACTGACTATTAAAATCCACATTATGATCAGAACTGTAATTCCAAAGATGAGGTCTTGTGAAAGCTTAATTCACTGTGGTGGGAAGTGGCAGCTGCTCCAACTCAGCAAAATGGGCTTTTTTAACTTAGATGCCAGGGAAAACAGATGTAGATGAGACTATAATAAGAACAACAATAAAATCCACCACCGACACACAGGTTCAGTTCTTATCACCAGGAGATTCAAGAAGGGCTTCTAAAGACACATTAGCAGCGAAAGGGAGGCAAAGGAAAATGTGGACCCAGTGGAGAAAAAAATAGGGAGACCTAGTGACAAAGGACACAAGAAAGGTCAAGGGACTCGATGTCTTCTCTGCCTTGGGCTTTGCTGGCATGGTCTGTCCTCGGCTTCCCTGTGCCGAGCAGCGGGGTCTGGGGCCACCCACACTGCAGAAGAACTGAGCTGGAGGCCACTGAAGCAGATTGGGCATTTTCAAGTCCATGGGACCGTGTGGGATTTATCTGTAGGAGCCAACATGACTGCAAAACTGCTCTTCTCCTGTGCCAGCAGAGGTTCTCGATGAACAGAAAAAGGCAAATGTTGTACCCGTCTTCACAAAAGGCAAAAAAAAGGACCTCAGTCTCCAAAAAGATTATGGAGTAAGCCCTCCTGGATTTGCTATGTCCACGTACACCAAGGACAAGATGATTGGGAACTGCCAGCACAGACTCACCAAAGGCAAAATGGGCCTGGCCAACCTCCTCGCCTCCTGCGACGGAATGGCTCTGTGGACGAGGGTAGGGCAACGGGCAACGTGCACCTTGACCTTAAGAAGGCTTTTGCCTTCTTGGGACAGGCAGGCTCTAATGTGGGTGGAAAATGGGCTGAACTGCTGGGCTCGAAGGGCTGTGATCAGCAGTACGAAGTGCAGTTGGTTACTAGTGGCATCCCTCAGCATTCGGTAGCAGGACCAAGGCCGGTTTATCGCCGTGTTACCAGCCTGGACAAGAATGACTCCTCAGGAAGCTGCCTGATGGCACTAAGCTGGGGAAGCAGTTCCTGCTGCTGGAGGGGGGACCTCGGCAGGCAGGCTGGCAGCAGCCCCGGGAAGTTCAGCAAAGGCAGAACGCCACAGCGGGTGTGGAGTTAACCCCGGGCTGCGGACAAGCTGGGTCCTGCCTGCCTGCAAAGCAGGAAAGGACCCAACGGACAAGTTGAACACGAGCAAGCAGCGTGCGCTTGCAATGAAAAGGGCCGACTGGATGCTGGGCTGCGTTGGCAAGAGTGCGGCCAGAGGGTCAAGGGAAGTGGTTCTTCCCCTCTTACGAGGCAGTTTGTGAGATGACATCTGGACACTGCGTCTAGTTCTGGGCTCCCCAGCGCACACACTGACATCCTGGAGTGAGTTCAGTAGAGAGCCACCAAAATGAGGGGGCTGAAGCACAGGATGCACAAGGAGAGGCTGAGAAAATAGCTCAGCTTGAAGAAGAGAAGGCTCCAGAGAGATCCTACAGCTGTCTGCAAGTACCTAATGGGGGCAGACAGAGAAGACAGCCAAAGTTTTCTTGAAGGTTTACAGCAAAATTAAGAGACAATAGGCACAAACTGCAGCAAGAAAAAATCCTGTTCGATGTAAAGAGCAAATTCTGCAGAATGGGGATGGCCAAACACTGAAACTGAGAGTACAGAGAGATTGTGAACTTTCTGTCCTTGGAGATATTCAAAACCTGACTGCACACAGGCCTGAGCAACCTAGTGTGACCTCAAGGTTGTCTCTGCTTTGGACCAGGAGACTGCAAGACGTCTGTTCTATACTGAATTATTCTGTGAGTTCAGCTATGGTGGTAGGAGCATCCCCCAACTGACCCACTACAATAAGGAATGTGCATTTGAACACAAATCTGGTTTTACCTTAAAAATATTAGGATCATTTTTCTGTTGTTACTACCCCTCTCTGAAGCTTTGAGATGTGGGGCAACAGCTTTTTCATGCCTTAAAAAAATACAACAGAAAATAGGTCAAGATTGCACGCAAAAGCACAAAACAGCACTGGTCGGAATATCAGCATTAGCTTAAACATGTCTTGGGTGACAGACGGAAAGATGTAGTGTCGTGGTCTGGAGATGGGGCAGGCAACGAGGTACGCACCTGGAATCAGAGCCTGGAGCAGCAAAGCCTGTGCTGCAGTGCTGGAGTCTGAACTGCTGCTGCTGGAAGCAGAGCAAGCCAGATTACAGCTCGTTTAGACACACTTGGAGGAAATCCTCCGTGTGGGGGGCACAGGGTCTGTCGAGAGACAAGCTGAACAGCATTGCCTTCCATAAAAGCAAAGTCCTGCCTCTAGTTCTGGCCTCCGCTGAACGTCAAGCTTTGGGCAACCCCTACCCACCTTACTGAGGCACTGCAGCCTGCCTCCTCTCCAGCACGAGGAGCGGGGTCTCAGGACCACAGACGTACCTAACTTCTGAGCTGTGGGTGCCCACCCACCCCAAAAGACGCAGATGCCTTCAGAAGTACTGGAGACAGCTGGATCCATCACAGCTAGCTCTGAGAGCGAAGGGCGTAAAAACCCTCAAGCTCTTCCTGCATGGTTGGCTCTTGCGATGCTAGCTGACCTCAGCAGTTAGTGAGCTGATGATGCGCAGAAGTCTCCTTCAGAGAGGTTGCTCCTATCGAGGTCCCAGAGCTCCCCAAAGGGATCCCCCTCTCCCTCATGACCACCCAGCCTGGGAAAAATGCCTATATAAAGGCTGAATAAGGGGATATTTTATTACCTTTCCCCTCTTCAAGCACTGGCCACAGAGGCTGCCGTCACATCTTGTGGTCAGAACGCACACGTCCACGCAGGTGACTTTTCCCAACTGTTTGCCAGATGTTCAGTGAAAAAAAATATTAAAAATATATTAAAAAAAAATAAATAAATCCGTAAGTATTGGCCATCATGCCCATCCATTCCCACTGCAGTCACTCAGGTTTGCTGCCCTCTCACTGCAGCACTCGCACTAAATCTCCCAAGTAGAAAAGGGTCAGTCCTGAATTTCTAGTGAAACATGAAAATAATACCTAACCAAAAAAAAAAAAAAAAGAAAAAACTATTCTGACTGTATATACGGAGTGTTATTTTTCCCCTGATGCAGGGGAAAAGCAAAAGGCTGAGGACACCAGCATATTAAAAAGATAACACATACTAGCTTTTCAAGAACATGTGCTACTTCTCAAGGATATTGCTTAGGCTAGTGAATACTCCCGTTATAAAATTTCTTCCTTCTCAATCTCCACTCTTCTCCCAACTCCGATGGGGTTTTACAAGCAGCCTTCTCATCCAGACTGAGGGATGGAAGTTGGTATATGCAGAGGTACCTGCGTATGCAAACAAAAATACATTGCATTTGTATAAATGACTGGACATAGCTAATAAAAACTGCTGTTGCTTTCTTACAGCTTTTTGACCAGCATCTCAAAGATCTCCTTTTAAATGACAATTTTTTTTTAAGTGTCCTGCTCAAAGCTGCATGTTTTTGGACTTGCTAGCCCAGTACAATGTACCCTCCTACAGCTTATGCTTGATCTGCAATCTCTTTATTTAGCAAAACAAATCAGAAAACTTCTTATCCGAATCACTGCACTCCTTAACTGATTAGGTAGTGCTGACGGAAGACTTCCCAACTCCATCATCACCCACTGGGAGGCACCTCTCAGCCAGCCAAGCCAGGAAGCACTTTGGGATGTAAATTCCAGCATCATCAGGAAACATCAGGAGAGGCTTGGACCACCAGTTCACCTACGCAGGGTTTTGCCTGTAGCTGGCGAAGGGAAGTTCTCCTCTGAAAATCCAAATGGTTCTTGCCATGAAAGGTTGGGGCAAAGGTTGTGAATTTTCACTCGCCTTGCTGGCCGGGCAACTTTCCTCTGCATGCCCTTCCTCTTGAAGATGGACCTTCCACCATCCAAAGCATGTCTAGGGAAGGAGAAGTGTTGGTTTCACACCTGGCTGAGGAACTATTGACATAACAAGTGAAAAAAACCCCAGTATCTACTAACTAGTACGTTTTTCTGCTCAAGGGGAGCTTACACACACCTACCACCCGTTTAAAATACAACAAATCTTTGTAATGAGTACTTTGACACAGTAGTCAACTGTTTTGGAGACATTTGATCTAGTTTGGTTGGTTTTTTTTAATCTAATAAAATAAGCTATGTAGTGACAGTCTTGTCCATGACCATAAAGAAAATGAACGAAAGCCAGCTCCACAGTTTTGTATCAGGATACAGAACAAACTTCACAAAACAGCAGAGGAAAAAAAAAGAATTCTATCAGTATTTTTTGCACAGACAACTGTTTTTTGATGCTTTATTTTCAGAACTGCTGTAAAAAACTCCCTCCCCGCCCCCGCCAATTCAAAAACTCAAGTTACTGCTTTGAGAGTTTCGTGGTGAACAAGCAACTC